ATTTAACAGGTTTCCTGAATTCCAGTGCAGATGTGTGGATGAGGCTGCATGAGATCTGGCACTCTCAGAGACAGTGCTGTAGAAACAATTATTTTTAAGCTTTCTACTGCCTTGGATTTGATCTGGTTTATTAGCTTTCCCCCCCCTCCCCCCATCACGAAGCACTTCTGACCCACTTCCTAAGTTCGTTATACAAGGCAATGTTTTGCCAATAGGAAGTTTAGTGACTGATCAAACTTTATAGATGTCCTTGATGTTCTAACAATATCATTAATTCTGATTACAATACACGGTAATGCACGTGAAATATGTAATTCAGTGAGTCTCTAGTGAGCATAAATATGTATAATATGTATTGCCTGTTACAATGAATTATTTCTAGGCTAAGTAAATTATTTAATTCTGAACTATATTTCTTAGTACTCATTTATTCTTGCTTCTCATTTTGACTTCTTTATAATAGCTACATAACAAGTCATCTAAGTTTTGTTGTTATGGAAGGAATAATGACTGCAAACTAAAACACTAAAAAGAGAAAGAAAAGAATTGGGGAAAGATTGAATTCACTGTTTATTTTGTGGATATGTGAAGGATCATTGTTACACTATACCAATAGCATGTGTTCATCAATGAGGGAATGTGGAAAATGCTCTGTTCTCTGTGAATGAAATGAAGGTGGTGATATTTTTTTCCCCAAAAAAGAGCGGTACTTAGGAGCTTAAAATGCACCAAAAGCATTTAAAATATGAATTTCAGTTATGTAATGTTTTCCTTATTTTATGGAAATTAATTATGGCTTCTTCTGACATTTGGTTTTTTTCTCTTTCAGTTGTTCTTCAGGTGTGCAGCTTAGTCCTTTACCCAATCAAGTTCATCGAAACGGTCAGCTTGAAAATATACCATGAGTTCAACTGGGGCTATGGCCTGGCTTGGGGTGCAACTATATTTTCATTTGGGGGTGCCATTCTTTATTGCCTGAACCCTAAGAACTATGAAGACTATTACTAGAATCATTTAATGAAAAGAAAAATAACAAAAGGATTACCCCATATTTTCTAACTCACGATTTTTTTAGAACACTTGTGGAGCACCAAACAGTCTGCTCTGTTGATAAAATAGCCTTTGCCTTTTGGGTGTGAACACTATAACCAGGTTTTACAACCATTTAAAAGAACTGCAAACACTAGGATTGCTGATCTTACATAGGCAGATGCTGCAAGCTGCTGATACATAAGCTTCATTTTTCTGACAAACAAGCAAAAGGATCTACGTGACAGCGATCATTGTAGAAAAACTGGTTGGAATGAGAATGCAATGCCAGCATCTGCTATTGCCTTCAGGGGAGCAGCTGCTATAGGCTCCGTTTAGAAGTTTCCCTGTATCATAGAGGATTCAGATGTCCTATAAGCAGGCAATGGCATCTTGTACAATAGGCTGTGTTGGCCCCTTGTTACTTGCTCAAAAAAGCTCTTAAGGAATTAGCTGCAAGTGACTGTGTTGAGGGCAGTGAATGTAACTGGTTAATGACTTGTCTAATATCTACATTCAACAGTCTTCTGGGAGAAGAATAAAAAAACCCCCAAAACAAACAAGCCACCAACCTCACAGGATTTCATGAATCGGTAATTGAGATCACTGTGCCAGCTGTAGCAGATTGTTGAAGGAAGTCCAAACCTGGAGACATGTGCTTCTGACTGTGTAGTTGGAAGTTGTCTCAGCTCCGAGTATTTTGCTGGAAGGGTGGACATAGGGGAGAGTAGAAAAAGACCTCATCTGTCTGTGAGGCATCTAAAGTTATGAATGAATTGTAGTTGTCCTAAATACCCATTTAACTTTCAAACACTGTCATGAAAAAGATGAATATGGAACAAGTTCAATTATATTTTTGAAAGATATTCATTAGGATAAATAAATATATATAATACAAATATAAATGCAGAGGGA